GTGCTCCTTTCACCCCAACGGCTTGGATCCTTAGCAGTGAATTGATTCCTTTCACTGGGCGTGCTAGAATTTGTAGACAAAAATTTGGAAACGTGAAGTGTTTCAACATATTTCAAAATTCATGTTACAAGGTCCACTGTTTAGTTTTTGGACTAAATAGTGTTGATTATTTGAATAGCAGGTTCCTATTTCCAATCTGTATTCCAGATCGTTAATTACACATTTTATTTAAATAAAATCTCTAATTAATGAAGAATAAAATAAATAACAGAAGACAATTTAGGAAAAAATAAATATTTTATTGAAATTGTTATGGGTTTTGAACCCTTGAATACAACTTTTCGAAACACCCGGAGGCAGGCGCAACGCGTCACTTGAGGGGAACGACCTAGCATTTAAACGATTCAAAGTAGGATTCATTTTCATAAGGGATCAGAGCGGCTTTTTTACGTGTTGACTGTCGGCTACCTAACACACAACTCTCCTCCTTAACCCGGGCTTGGGACCGGCGGAGTTGTCAACTCTCCATTTGAAAAAAATTGGTTACACACATAATATTTATATTGGCGGCTACTTCTAATTCTAATAGGATTAAAGACTTCAAATCCGGAAGCTAATAATACCTCTGAGTCTTGTACTATTTAGAAAACTCTAGGCCTAGTATAGACCGCATTGAAGACCCAAATAACAATACTTGACCCCAAATATGATTTATGGGTCAGCCTACTCATGTACAACAAACAAAGAACCAAGATACTCTGTTTAACTCTTGAAAGATTGATATAAATAAAACCAACTAAGAATAAACTAAATTTAAATAAAGTAAAAATGAGACTCTAAACAGTACTAAAACCATTCTCTTTAGACTCCAAAAATTTTATTGTGTGGTTTGGAGACCATAGGCTTCCAAAGTGGATATGCCTTGTCTAACCAAGTAATAGATACTGCATCATCACTTCTTGTTTTTTTTTTTAAAAAAAAAAAAAAATTTGTGATTCAAAATTGGGACTATAGTATGAGCCCAGACTTTAATATGGCTCTCACACTGTGAATGGTGTGTGAAATATAAGACAGTATTTAGCATTTTCTTTTGTGAGAGTTAAAATGTTCCAACCTTCAATTGGATTGTGTGAAGTCAACTGGTATGAAACTAGGATTGGATGAAAAGACTTTCTTAAGGCCCGAATTCCAAAAAATGTGAGTTTGTCAAGTATTGTAGACATTAAGTTGTGTCCGAGTTTATACCGAATATTTCAAATTGTGAATATGCATTTCAAAATCTTCTAGAATTCTACATGAGAATGATTCACAAAAACTGGAATCTAATGGTACAACAAAATTGGAATTTTTCCTGATATTTGGCTCCTTATTATAATTATGACTTTGCTTGATCAAGTTTGATTATGGTTCCCCCCTCCCCTCTTAGACTTTTTTGTGATTGCTTTTGTTTTCAACAGGAGATGTCTATCACAGCCAGTGCTCCTAGGGGGAATGGAGAGGAACCACCTCAAGAGGTACCACAAGGGGCACCTTCTAGCAATATTCCCAAAACGGGAGTTACAAGCGTGAAGGAAAAGGGCATTGCCACTTCTTCGGGTAATAAGCAGAGCCAACATAACAAAACTACTACTATCACTATCACGGAGCTAGCCATTTTAGAGAGTGATACTAGTGATAATAGTGACAAGGAGGCTAATTTTTCTACCCAACCAGAGGTTGGCAGACGGGCAAATCGCGAAGAGGGTAGTACTTCAAGAGCAACCCTCATTCAAGGATGATCTGAAATTGGTTCAATGGCATAATGGTTTAATTGAAAATTTTGGTTAAGACCCACCAAAAAGTAGTCCATGTGTGCCTCCTTCGTAAGAGAAGGCATATATATAGCTTATAGAAGGAATAGTCCATGTTCTTAACCCACGAAGTCCCTCGTATTAGTTGAGAAACAGAATGATGATGTTGTTTGTAGACACAGATTTGGAAACGTGAAGTGTTTTAACACATTTCAAAATTCATGTTACAAATGTCTACTGTTTAGTTTTTGGATTAAACAGTGTTGATTATTTGAATAACAGGTTCTTATTTCCAATCTGTATTACAAATCGTTAATTACACATTTTATTTAAATGAAACTCCCGATTAATGAAGAACAAAATAAATAACATAAGACAATTTAGGAAGAAATTAATATTTTATTGAAATTATTATAGGTTTTGAACCCTTGAATACAAAGTATAATTCTTGGGATTGGAACCCTTTACTTATTCATCGTCATTCTGCGTTTGTAGCGTAGGCTCTTGAGTTCTCCTGGTTTCTCTTCTTCTTCCTCATGAAGACTTCTTTGTTTTCTCTCTCTCTTTCTCTCACATTTCTAATTCTTGATCTTTTATTTCTCCTAGCGCCATCTAGATATGTGTGTAACCATATCTGATTAATTGGATATTTGATTACCGTATTAACCCTTTGGACTTCATCTTGTGTGGTGTTCTTGTTGTAGCCTCTACATGTGTCATCTTTCGTAGGCTCCGCGTGTCATTTGAATATCTTAAATTACGTTGCTGAGATACGATGTTGTTTTATTTATGCACTTCAACGGATCAAGTTGATCATTTTAGGAAGTGATTATCTACAACAATCCTATCATAGGCTCTATGTGTGTCATTAATTGATTGATTGTATTTGAAACTTGGTTGAAATTTGTGTGCCAACAAATGCCCCCTCATGACTTGCGCAAGTAAATTTTCTTAATTGTGTGAGTCATGACAATTTGGCACTTTTATGTAGACACTCTTTAGATCATGGATGAGATTATTTCTTGGCCTTGGTTCCTTTTGGCCACTTTTCAGGCTTTGTATTTTTTTCTTTTTTTTTGTTTATTTGTAACTTTGCTATGAATACTTGACCCCAAATATGATTTATGGGTCAGCCTACTCATGTACAACAAACAAATTAATCCTCTTTTTTTTAAAAAAAAATATATTTTATTTTATTTTATTTTTCTATGGGTTGATTGCTCTTTATAGTCTATGGGCCTTTTATTTATTTATTTTTGTGGCATGGTCTCTTTTTGTGGACTTGATCCTCTCTTTTTTTTTAGAGGGAGTTATGGGCTGGTCCTTTGGACCGGACTTAATTCCTATGAGGTCCTTACTCAAAAAGATTTAGAACATCTTTCCATTTTACCCTTGACATTTAGTCCAAATAAAGAAACCACTCCACAATTCTACTCTCTCTCTCTATCACAACTGTTAGAATCTCTCTCTTAATTGGCCACCGAAAACCACTTCTGACTGTCGGCAACCATCATCGACCTCCAATGACTCTTTTGGCCTTGATCTTTGATTGCCAGCAGCCATTATTGACCTCCAGCAACTACCTCTGAACTTTGACAATATTTTTTGTGCGGCCATTTTCCATCCCAACCATGTCAATACCAAAGTACCTCCTCAAACAATGTGGCAACAAGAGAAAAAGAGAAGAATAAGGATGAAGAAAATGAAGGAAAGAGATGAGGAATCCTTACCAGAAAATAATTATTCACATTCGTAGATTAACACAAAGAATCAAAGACAAACCTAATAAAAAAAATTATAATTGACACATTCAACGATAAATTTAACCACTGCTTGTTAAAAATTACAAAATCTCATCATCATTGTCACAAATCAACACAAGATTCAAAGACATATTTAGTGATAAATTTATCATTGACTGTTTGTAAAAAAAAGAAAAAAGAAAAAAGAAAATCTCGTCAACATTGTCACAAATTAACACAAGATTCAAAGATTCAATGTTAAATTTATTACTGATAGACATATTCATTGATAAATTTCTCATTGACTATTTGTTAAAAAATTATAAAAAGAAAATCTCGTCATCATCGTCACAAATCAACACAAAGATTCAAAGACATATTCAGTGATAAATTTATCACTGATAGACACATTCATATAAATTTCTCACTAACTGTTTGTTAAAAAATTATAAAAAAAATCTCGTAATCATTGTCACAAATCAACACAAAGATTCAAAGACATATTCAGTGATAATCACTAATAGACACATTCATTGATAATTTCTCACTGACTGTTTGTTAAAAAATTACAAAAAGAAAATCTCATCATCATTGTAACAAATCAACACAAGATTCAAAGACATATATCGGTGATAAATTTATCACTGATATATTAAACCCTTCTTTGCAACAGATTTGGTTTGAGAGAAATAAAGAGATGGGGAGGGGGGGAGGGAGAGAAAGGTGAGATTTGGAGAATCAATGTTGCTTGTAGTCGTTTGAAGTTGATTTCACAATAAAAACAACTAGATCAATGTAGATCTAGGACGGAGTATAGATCGGCGATGGCATAGTGTAAATCGGCGATGGCGATGGCGATGGCGATGGCGATGGCGATGGCGAAGGTGGTTGGTAAACAGTGGCGGTGAATTGAAGCTGGTGAATAGATGGGCGATGGTGGAGATGGTTAGTGAACAATGGTAATGGTAATGTCTAACGAAGGTGGTGGTGATCAGTGACAAACGACAGTGGTGGCGGTGGTGGTGGGTGTGGATGGCCATGGCCATGGCCATGGCAACAGTGGTGGTATTTTCTAGAGAGAGAGAGAGAGAGAGAGAAGGGTTTTGGAAAAATGATCAAGAGAGAGAAGTTAATAAAAATTGAGAAAATTAATGAGGAATAAATTCAATGAAGGTATTATAGGCAACTAAGGACTTAATAGAACATAAAAATATAAGTTAGAACCTAATAGGTAATAAGGCTAGAAAGGGAGATTGGTTGGTAAATTACCCCCTTTTTTTATATGTAAGGTCATGGGTAAGGCCCAAAAATTTAATTGACCTTTTATTTTGTTGGCTTCTTTCTCCGTTCTATAATGTGGGCCTTTTACCAACTTGCCACCACTTCTTTTTGCAAGAGCCTTTTTTTATTTATGAGACTCCTAATCCTTTTGTATTTGTTTTTTTTTTTACACTGATTTGCAGAATCAGTCCCTTTCAATTTTACAGCAGATTTTTGCTAGGAGTTTGCCTAAATGAAATAGGATGGATTGGTATTGATAGAATTTCTAATCCTACATGAACTCTTGCTTCTTTGGAGTATTTTAGGAGACCACTACCGCTCCTCTTAAGTAAGACCTTTTGCTTTATATAACACCTATCCATGCATGTAGACAATATATATTTTTTCCTCCTGCAACTTTCTTTCTCCCAGCAGATTTTTTTTAGCAGATATTTATCCTTCCAACATATTTCCAACAACAATTTTCTAACCATTTTCTTTCTTATCTTCCCAGCAAAAGTTGTTCTTCAACGATCTTTTCATGTCAGGTATGTCTTTCTTCTTCTTTTGTTTGTCTATTTTCTTTTTCTTTTTTTTTTTTTGGTTGTTTTTGTTTTTGTTGTTGTTTTTGTTTTTGTTTTTTTCTTTTGTTTTTTTTTCTAGTGCTTTGGCACAAGAACAAAATTGTTGATATGGCTGCCTTCAAGCATATTTTTTTTCTAACCCAAATATGAACAAAGTCCTTGCTTTTAAATATGAACAAAAACTTATAATTTTTTTTAGAAAAAACCTACTGCCTGTTTTTTTTTAGAAGCTAAAGCTTTTCTTTCCTTTCTTTTAATTTTCTTTATTATTTTTTTGCTTCTTTACAGCCCTTTGTTTGTGGCATGCTACTGTATTTTAAATGATCATCTTCTCGCAGTATTTGCTTAATTTTTTTTTTTAACACCCATACCAACTTCATGGATGTCATGTTCATAGTTATGCATGCAGTAGCATTCCTTGGCCTAACAAGACTTCTACCTCTGCATTTTTTTTAAGGCATAAGATTTCTTTACTTTAAGAAAGAACAAGTTCTTTTATTGGCATCAAGCTGTTCATCAAGTATGCACTATGCCTTTTATCCATAGCACCTTTTTTTTTGTCTGCTGCTGCTACCATTTTTTTTTTTTGTGCTAACCATGAGCCCAAACAAAGACTTTTCTTGTTTTATGATAGCAAAGAAAAACCTGCTATACCTCTTGTAACAGCATGTATTTGTTTATTTAGCAGATTTTTGCTAAACCTAAATATGAAAACAGACAGTCCTTTCTTTTTTTTGTTTTTACAGCAGCAACCTGTTTGTTGTTGGTTGTGTATTTTTTTTATTTTTTTTTATTTTTGTTAGAACAAACCAACGCAGGTAGCTTTTTATCTCCCTTTTTTTTCCTATACCCATACTAGCTTCATGGATACCATGCTTTAAGCCTGCTACCCTTTATTTTATTTTGTACCAGTAGCAGCCCCTTGTATGTACAATTGGGCATCTGAACAAACCTCTATTTTTTTCTTTTTTAAAATCAAATTAGCCTTGCCCCCTCGTGATTTGTGCAAGTAAATTTTAATTGTAGGAATCACGATAATTAGGTTTTTTTTAATTATTTTTTTACCTCTTTTGCAGGCAACACGCAAGGCTTCAGAGTTTTTGTAGGTATCATTGCCCCTTCTACTCCAATGGCAATGATTGGCTTAAATCATTGCCAATGAATGTGTTCCTTTTACCCCAATGGCTTGAATTCAGTGAATGGGTTTCTTTCACCCCAATGACTTGAATCCTTGACAGTGACTAGGCTCCTTTCACCCCAATAGCTTAAATCCTTAGTAGTGAATGCGCTCATTTCACCCCAATGGCTTAGATCGTTGGCAGTGAATGTGCTCCTTTCACCCCAACGGCTTGGATCCTTAGCAGTGAATTGATTCCTTTCACTGGGCGTGCTAGAATTTGTAGACAAAAATTTGGAAACGTGAAGTGTTTCAACATATTTCAAAATTCATGTTACAAGGTCCACTGTTTAGTTTTTGGACTAAATAGTGTTGATTATTTGAATAGCAGGTTCCTATTTCCAATCTGTATTCCAGATCATTAATTACATATTTTATTTAAATAAAATCTCTGATTAATGAAGAATAAAATAAATAACAGAAGACAATTTAGGAAAAAATAAATATTTTATTGAAATTGTTATGGGTTTTGAACCCTTGAATACGAAGTACAATTCTTAGGCTTGGAACCCTTTACCTATTCATCGCCATTTTGCATTTGTAGCGTAGGCTCTTGAGTTTTTTGAGTTTCGTTTCTTCTTTCTTGTAACTACTTCTTTAGCTCCTGATTTCTTTCTCTCTCTTCGATCTTCTCGCTTTTGATTTTCTGACCTCCTCTCTTGTGTAATGGTCCTCATATTTATAGAGGGCCATCTAGGTGATAAGAGGGCCTTATCCTCAATTTCATTTTCAAATTTCAATTAAATGATAACGCCATCTGAATTTTGAATGATAGCTCCATCTGAATTTGGGTGTAACCATATCTGATTAATCGTATATCTGATTAACCATATTGACCCTTTAAACCTCATCTTGTGTGGTGTCCTTGCTATAGGCTCTACAAGTATCATCTTTCGTAGGCTCCACATGTCATTTGAATATCTTAAATAACGTCGATGAGATATGACGCTTTATTTATGCACTTCAACAGATCAAGTTGATCATTTTAGGAAGTGATTACCTACAACAATCTTATCATAGGCTCTATGTGTGTTATTAACTAATTGACCGTATTTGAAACTTGGTTGAAATTTATGTGCCAACATTGTTCTGGGCCTATTCTTTACGCTCTGTTGAAGCACGTAGATAGCCCAAAACTAGGCTATTTTTAATAAAAACTTCAGATCAGTTGGGGAAATAGTTAGAAATGTATGTGACCTTGTTCAGGATTTCTGTCAAGTGATGGCCGGATGGTAGGGGTGCAGCATTGTTCTAGTTCTGTGAATTGGAAAGCTCCTGCCGAGGGTATCTTTAAGGTTAATTTTGACAGGGGCTTGTTTGATAGTCAAAATGTTGTTGGTGTTAGGGGATCACTGGCTACCACAAATGAGAGGTTATTGCAGCTTTGTTGGGGAGAAACTTCCTTTTGTCAAATTGTGCTGAAGCATTTGAAGTAGCTATGGCGTTTTTGACAATCTATTTGTATAGATGGTGAAAGTTCCACTTGGGACTTTATTCCCTTGTGGCATTTGATGCATTATCTATTTTGCAATATGCTTTCTGACCATCATATATATGAAAAGGAAAATTTTATTTACATACCACAAATTGTTTCAGTACACATCATTTACTCATTGCACACCACATCCAATTTTGATTTTATATTTTTCACTCAATGCACACCATCAATTTTCAAATATTCCCATCTTTTCCAATCACAACCCTACCTCTAACCCTAACCTTAACTCCACTCCTCCACTATCGCCATCAATCGTTGTCGTCAGCCCTCCCACCTCTTTCTGTCATCGTTACCCTTCGACCGACATCATTTTTGGCCTCACCTTGATACTCTCTCTCTCTCTCTCTCTTTATTCTTTTTCTTTGTCACATCTCTCTCTTTCTTTCACTCTCTCACTCTCTCTCTTCCTCTATAACTCGAGGAAGAGTGGTGTTAGCAACATCAGCTAGAGAGGAAAAATGGAACAAACCCTAGATGTAGGGTCTGCAAGAGTCCAATTGCGTAAACCAGAAAGCACCATCATCAATCAATAGACTCATAAATTCGGCCTCTAATTTCAAGCTTCGATTCGAAGCTTTAATCGTTTTTAGGCCACCATAGTTGCCTTCTGCAAGAAGCTCCTAATCCTCACAATCGTTGCCATTGGAAGCCCACTCCAATGGGTTGGGGAAGATCATCGTGGGGCTATGAAGCATAAGTACGGGTACGAGTATGGATACTGGTACGATATGGGTACGTTGATATGGTAAAATTCAAGAAAAGATAGAGTGCGGGTAGAACTTGGTACGCTTGTAAAAAAAAATATTTATTTTTAATTTAGAGTAATGCAAAAATTAATTAAATGACTTAATTTGTTAAGGTCCAACCTACAATTAACAATTAATGCCAAAAGTAAAGATATAAATCAAAATTAAATGTCAATATATTAAATAACTTACAAATTATAATTTAATTTTAAAATCATGCTAAGCATAAAACAAAAAATAAAAAAGAAATCCAGTAAAAGGAGTTTTATCTCTATAGTATAAGAAAATATTGTTTCAACTAAGGTACGGTACGGTACAGCTTGGGTATATAGGTATGACAAAAATTAAGAAGAAAAAAATTGAGTACGTGTTTCGAGTATCCAGTACGCATGTAGAAGTATCATACGAGGTACCATACGCTGGCAAGTACCCGATATGGGTACGACATGTTTTTCGAAGTACCCATCCTTCATAGTTGTGGGGGGGGAGGTGTTTCGCTAGTAAGGGTGAGGGTTAGAGCAGGTGGTGTGGTGGGTTAGAGGAGGTGGTGTGGTGTGGATTGAGAAATTAGTGTAAAGGTTAAAAATGTAATTGACTAAAAGGATAAAGATGTAATAAAAAATTCAAAGACATGGTGTGTAGTGAGAGAATTGGTAATGTGTAAATAGAATTTCTCATATAATAAAAAGGTCATGTGTATTATTGCTTACCTGAAAGGGGCATTTGGTATTAAATCCGTTTTAATAGACTTGTTTCCCCATAAGTCTTATAAATATTATTATGTTCCATTTAATGCCCCTCGCAGTTATGGTATGACTCAAATCTCATCCGCCACTGGCCAGCCCTCTCCCTCATGTCCTCTATCATCGCAACCCCTCTTCGCCACCCCAACCTCTTCCTCGCCTGCCACCATAACCTTTCCCCCACTCCTCTCTCGCTTCCCTTACCCCTTTCCAGTAGAATATCAAAGTGTTGCACCACATTTTGAAAGTACCAAAGTAAAAGGTCATTGCATCCCTGCATGTTGCCATGTATAGTTGCCATACATATATGTGGGTAGAATGCTCCATTTGTTTGGGCCAAAATCATTTTCTACATAATTTTTTTTTCAAAAAAAAGTTTTTAGGAGAGAATATTTTTTATGTTTGGTGGTGCTGGTGGGACAAAAGTGGAGGTGGAGGTGGAGGTGGAGGTAGTGGCGTGGAGGAGGGGCAGTGGCGGAAGTGATGGCGACAGTGGCGGTGGTGGTGGAGGTGAGAGTGGCGGTGGTGGTGTGGTAATATTGGTAAGACTTTAGCTCAAAAAATGTTTTCGACCATCTAAAAGTGAAAAATATTTGGTGGTGCTGTGGTAATATTGGTAAGACTTTAGCTCAAAAAATGTTTTCGACCATCTAAAAGTGAAAAATATTTTTTAGCCTAAATAAGTTTGTTTTCTGTTGATTATGAAAAATATTTCCCATTGATTTTCGTTTTTCATTATACCAAATATTAGAAAATAAGGAGAATGTATTTCAAAAAATATTATCCACTCAAATAAAAGAGCGTAAATGGGAGGTACGTGTCCTTGAACATATGCAAGTTGGTACATGTACTACATTTAGGGTTGTTTGGATGATTGTAAATTTTAAATCAAGAAATTTATGCTTAAATATATAGAAAAATAATTGATAAAGACAAGTTGAGATAAAAAGATATATACATTTTAGTAAGATCCTTATAATTGAAAAAGAATTCTTACTATGATTTCAAATAGCTAATTTTATATGATGATTTTAAATCCCTCAAGATTAAACTATTTTACTCAATCTTAAAATTCATAAATAAATTATTACATCTGAATTTGAGTAATCATCATTGAATAATTAAAGGTCAAATCCCTTAAATTGAAATCTACATCTATCCAAACAGAACCTTAGTAATCGTGTTGCCAATAACTAGAGGCAGATAGATTTGGAATCCAATCATGATAAAATGGTTAATTACATTTTTCATTATCAAAGCATGAGATCTCTGTCATTTTGTTACTCTATGTTTAAATTGTTTCAAACAGTCAGATTGATCTTCTGAGATTAGTCGAGATGTGCATAAGTTGATCCAGATTCCTGATTATCCAAAAAACAATCTATATATATATTTAAATTGTGTCAATTTAATTTCCAATCCATAAAAAGTGTTTACATTTGGTCCAAACTAATTTCGTCAATAGGATTTAGTTAGAGCCAAATGACATAGATCACATATTTTGGGAACTAAAAATGTTTCTTTTTTAAGTGAGTTTTCACATTTATCGCTTGTCTTAATGGCATATGTTGATGACATTAATTTCAAGAATCAAATTGAAACACTTTGAAGACTAAATTACACTAAGAATTAAAAACGTAATTAACCCGTGCTAAAATGACTACATTTTTTTTAAAATTTTTTTATCACATTTTATTTATCATGCATGTCAATCTTATAATGTTCCATCACCCATATCTATTACCATTACAAGATTGACATGTGAAATAATTAACAAAATATGATAAAACAATCATTTGATGGCTAGTTTTTGCATTTCAAATTGAAATATAATTAACTATTTGTTCAAAATAAGCAATTATTCTATTTTTGTTGGTGCTTATGTAGATTAGCAATTGGAAGAAATCAATATGATTTTATAATTGGAAATGTTTGCCAAGTTGCTTTTGGGAGGGGAAGTGTCAGGTGGAGACAGTGTATGATCAGCTTTGGCTTAGTTAAATTTCATTATATTTTGGATGAGAATTTCAAGATTTATGTTTTGCTACTATGTTCAATTAATGTAATTACTTCAATCCTTCAAAGGAAATGGTGTTGAATGAATGGATTGTATTTCAATTCTAATTATTTTGCTCTTTGTTTATTTGGATACAAATCCTATTATTAGATTGATATCATTCTGGTTATTCAATTTTGTCGTTAATGCATTGTATATATTTGAATTTTTTTTTTTACAAAAAATTTAAAATGACGAGGAGCTAAAAATTTTATCAAAATAAAACAAATAAATAATCTCTTTAGATCAACTCTAGTAGTGAAACGTTGAATAAAACCTACA